CGTTGGCTATTAGTCGTCGAGATGGATTGCACTTGGATCCTGCCTCAGAAATCTTCTTTCGAGCAATTCCTTGGTGTCTTCGAGACGCGTTCCAAGTTTTTCCTGAAAGTAACGGAGGCGCACCCTTCGCAGGCTCGCAATCCGTGCAAAAACCAGACGTAATCGTATGTTGGGTCCTCCTCGATGGGCCAGTCACTGCTAAATATGAGCTCTTCCACCAGTTACCGTCACAAACGACATCCTTCCTTCTTGCGGCACTGTGACAGACTTTCTTTTTCAGCCTTTGACTAATCGTATCTTCGCTCGAAGGAGGCGGTGATCGGAGCCACTGCAAAGGGATGGAACTACTGAGAATTGAGCAAGCTGCACCTTCGGTTGGCGAGAATGTGGTCGATCTTTGCCTGAGTCGTTCCGTTGGGCGATTTCCATGACCACCGGCAATGTTCTTTTTTCATGAAGATGGAATCTGCATGGAAAAGTCGTGCGGCGGAGAGACCAACGAGACGGTTGCCGTTTTCGTTCCGGAGCCCATATCCAAACTTCCCAATCATATGTTCCTTTGTGGCATCCCTATTTTCGAGGAAGTCGCCCACAACAAACTTGTAAAAGGACTTCTTGCTGCGGACGACCTCCTCCACATCTTCGTAGAAAGCATCTAGTTCTGCTTCGTCAGCTGCTTACGTTGGTGAGTACCAGTTGATGATGCTGATGGTCTTCTGACGTGGATTTCGTAGTCGTAGGATGGCTAGTCGAGGTGACAGGATCTCATACGAATCGACAAGATGGACGACAAAGCCAACCCTCCAATGTTTTTTGATAATCTTTCCACCACGAATGATGAGGGTTCCCTTCACTCATCTGTCGCACGTCTTTCTTCCTGTGGCCGTATTCATCAACGAACCCTGAGGGTTAAACTAACCCTGGGGATAAAGGCGTCAGTTACGCGTGCGCTGTGCAAACTCACATCACAGAATGCCTAAGTATGTGCTAAATTCACTTTATACTTCTATTCTTTCACTATTATAGTAGTATAATCAATGAATAAGCTTCTAACACTAGATTTTATAAAACATCTCTAGCATATTTGTGCAGCATCCAATCTTAAGCGTGAGTTTATTTTCATGTGTGCAATTGTGCCGTGTAAGTTCTAATTTTGCGCGGTTCGTTTTATGCCGGGCTTGTGCTACTCTTTTAGGAGTCAGTGCGTGTTATCATAAAGGGGTTCTTCTGTTTTGGTACTTGTCAGACTGGAATGCGCAACCATTTTTCCTCGTCGCATTCATTTGTCACCAAAGCTAGAATTCATTTTCTCGCGAACAGTGTTTCATGTACTTCGAATTTGAACATAAAACGAAGCCGAAATATTCAACAACAACTAATACTGAATACTACAATACTTGATCGTTTTCCATAAAACTATTAGATGCGAGTAAATGTTTGTATGAAGTGTCAGGGTAGAGTTAACCTTGCTCTGAGCTAGGGTTAAATTAATCCTGATGAATCACGTAAGTTTAACCCTCCAGGGTTAGTTTAACCCTCACGATTCGTTGATGAATACGGGTTAATCGCTTTCGGGGTAAAATTAACCCTCAAGGTTAGATTTAACCCTCAGGGTTAAGCCTACCCTGTGTTTCATGAATACGGGTTAGACGCTTTCCAGGGTTAAATTAACCCTCCAGGGTTAGTTTAACCCTCGGGGTTCGTTGATGAATACGACCACTGGACTTCCTTTCCTGCAGAGAGATGACGTGGTACTTAGTGTGCTCTTCAGCAAAAAGAGCGTAGAGGTCGGCGTTTGTGGAGACTGTCCTGGCGTTGTAGGTGCAGCGCATGAGGCAGTGTCCGTGGCGTGTCGTCCAGATAGACGTGTCGTTTTTGATCGATCCAAAAGCGCCCTAAGGACCCTGACATTGTTCTTGCTACCACCCGGCTCCTAGGCGGGATCCGATGTACAGGGTTTTTCTACTACATAAAGTTTCCCCTGCAGGAGCAGACATACTAGGCCTACTTTGATTTCCACGGGGCATTCGCTGACCCGGGTGTGAGCGGGGGGACCGCCTAGCGACCGGAGAAAACTAGATGGCGGGTTATTTGGCCTGGCCGGCTCTTAGCTAGGCATCCGGCCGAACCGGGAGCGTCGAACTCCTCCATAGCTTGGGAGGCCCTGCCAGAGTATACACTCGGCTGTACATCGCTGTTCGACACCCATTGTCATTTCCACTCGACGATGAGGCGGTCGACCATTGTGGGGATCTAAACGTACGCTGCTTGGTAAAAGCTAAAAATTAGCAGATTTTTCTGCTTTTGAGTAGAGATCCCCGGAAGAATAATTCCCTCCCCAGCACTCCCTTCGTGCATAGCAAAGATGGTCGCTGGGGATCATTCCCTTGGGGTGAGGCTGATTTTTCGTTAATGCTACAACTTTCAAGGGAAGCTGGCACGATTTGCAGTTTCCGTTATCTGTGAAAACGCTGATTTAAGTGTCCGCGCAGACTCCTTTTTTCGGCATTATAACGTCTTCTACTCGTTCCCCTGCACAGACATTATGACTTCCATTTTTGAGCGCTTACGCTGAAATGGACAGCATAGGCGATAGTGAGCAACATATATGACAACAGCAGGAATGGGCGTAACAAATATTATTTTTGGTGCGCCGAGCACAGTCACGGTGGACGCGCGCTCCGCAACGCCTAAATTATTGCCGATGACGAATTGAAGATGAGTAGTCAGCAAAAGATGAAAATTGAGAAATATTTACTTCAGCGCAAGGGGATCACTTCCTCTAATCTCATGGGGTCCCTTCGCCGATATTGTCTGTGCGCATACGGGGGTTTGTGTGGGGAAGGCGGGGGGGGGGGGGGGAGCCCCAGCGGGGACATTTTAATAGTATGGGCCGCATGCATTAACATCTCCTGGAGAATGGAATGCAACTCAAAAGAAAGCTTCATATTCTGAAGCTCCAGATATCTGGAATTTCACGCTGTCTACCTGTATGAGAGTATTCCTGCTATGCATCTTCATGAACATAGTGAACAGGAGCGAGAACCTGTGCAAGCCACATTTTAAAACTTTTGTATGATCCTCCGATGATCCCCTGCGGCCGACCGTCTTTTTGTCAAAGTCATTCTTCTTTTTCTGAAGTTAACGAAAACCTTCCAAAGTTGTACTGACTGTTTAACTCAACAGTGCTGATGATGATAAGAACAAATGATTTGAGAAGTTGAATACCTCGACAAACCCTAACTTTCGACTTGTGGTTCATCGCAAATGCCTAGCACTGTTGGATTAGACAATTTGTACAGATTTGGAAGCTTTGAAGAGGAGAATGGTTTTGAAGAAAAGACGTTTGGTAGCCGGAGATTATTAGGGGATCATACAAAAAGCTGGGAAATGCGGCTTGTACAGCTTTTCGCTCTGTTCAAGATGTTTATGAAGGATGGTAGGAATGCTTACGGATAGAGACAGCGTGAAATCCAGGCATCTGGAGCTTCAGGATGAAGGAGCTATAGGAGCTTCCTGTATGCACGCACATCCCCTCGTGGGATGAACTGCATACGGGCCTAAGTCGACATTGCGCGATCGCAACATAGTCATGATCGATGTGGATAAATATATTGAACGCTGAGCGAAGTCTGGCCGGTGCCTAACCAATTATGGAGTTGATCATGGACCAAATATCATGCGCTGTGTTTTGGAGCGGATGAAGAGCACATGTGTGGCACTTCCCTAAATTTATCTGTTTTTCCTTTTGCCTAAACTAACGGACTCACGCGGTTTTAGTCGCTGCGCAATTCGGCAGTGCAACGACCTCGTAATTGGTGTTGGCGCCTTTGCTTGGGCAATAATTGATGGCTGTGACAGCTTACAAATTTTGATTTTGCGCCTATTCGTCCAGGAGCCGCACTTGATTTTACAAACGTCTGGCAAATTAGCAGTTCACACGGATTCAGCGATTGGCAGGCCTTACGCAAGCCAAATCGCATTCTTCAGGCCCGCAGTAATATCCCTGCAGCAAGGGGAGCGGCGTCTCCCATCATGAAGAGGTTGCGCAAACGCCGCTGCCGCTTCTTTGTTATTGGGTATGCCGCTCCCCTCGCCGCAGAGATATTAGTGCATACGGTCTTTGGTAATTTAGTAACCCGCGCCTTTTTTCTTGAAGTGGATGAGGTGATGAAGAATAAATGAATGGTGCCTGTTAGTTGATAACAGATGGCATACATCAAGCATTCAGTTACATTGTTTAAAAAGTCAGTAATGTTCAATGAACATCAACTGCTGATCACAACAAGCCTCAGGGTCGAAGTAAAGTTCGAATCCGCGTGGTTGGGCAGGCTGACTTGCACACCGGCGATATGACCTGTGTGCGTCCTAAAAAGAACAAGCGATTACATAAGCGTGCTGGATCGAAGTGCTCGCAGTGTGTCAGCGTACTGAAATCTGGCCCGACCTAAGTGGATGTCTTGTGAAGACATAAGGCCAGCGTAAAACTTACCCGATTTATCCACTTTCAGCCACTTTGCACTCAGATTATCGTCGGGGTAGGCGGACCCGGAAAATCGCATTGCTGATTTTTTGATCTCCGCTCGAGTTTCTGGAAAATGGTCAGCGAGTTTTTTAGAGACCGCCTGTCAAATATTCTTTCGCTCCGAAATTCACGGTATATTGCTGATTTTTCACGAAGCAAGAAATCAATAGGCGGCATCCCAAAATTCATGACCTCTTTTCTAAAAATCAGCGAGCCAAGCACAAGAAATCAGTCGTCTATTTTTCTGGTGCCCGCCTAACCCCGGCGATTGCCTGAGCAGTTGGTCATACCCATGATTTGACCAAAGCAAAGTGAATGAAGTAGATAAGTGTGACGCCTGCCTAATGAGTATGCTGTTTTGTTTTGAATTCTCCAAAAGGCAGTGTAAACGCCTCAGTATTTTTGCCAGGCACCGTCAGCTCTAAGGAAGCTACAAACGTTGACGTTTTTACATTAGTTGAACAGTGCATTTTAGGAGCCGCAGAGCAACCAGCGTCGCTGATTCTCAGATTCGAATTCTTTGATGGATTTATCTTTCAACGAAGCATAATCGAAGGTCTTATCTCCACGCACTTCACTCTGCGCTTCTGTGATTCATTTGTCGCAGATTACCAATTATATATTGTCTTATGTCTTTGGTTCCTGACTATTGTCAGCAATCAGAATCCAATTATCGGTTGTCTTTCCACTGTAATGTATAACGTTTTGTGTTTGGATGATCTTTCTCATCTGTCTTGTTTGTTTTATTGGCTCAAAGAAGTTATATTATAGAGTACTACAGTTTTTCTTTGTACATGCATTAGTCTTGATGTTTTCACCAGTTTCTCGAGGGTTTTGACAGTGTGCGCCATGGCAACTGCTGTCGCAATCACGGAGGAACTGGTGTGAAGCAAACCAGACATTTGCACCGGCTGGCGGCCGTTCGAAGACCGGGTGGTCCGTCGCCGACATTTCGGCCGGAACGATTGCCAGCCCGACCGCGGGTGGGGGAACGAAAGCCGCCAGTTTGGGCCGCCTCCGCGGACTGCTGGTCCTGGAACGACATGCAACAACACTGCGAAAGGACCAGTTTGCCGCGAAAGGCGGCTCAAACTGGCGGCTTTCGTTCCCCTACCCCCGGCCGCCGGCCGGTATGCATCAGTGGCGCAACGAAATGGAACTGGGTCACAGCATTCCTTTCTCTAAATTTTAGCTTTCGTTCAGCAGTCTAATCTTGATATGAGGCGTACGAATTTACAACAACGTATTTATCACAGCCAAAAGATACAATGTATAGAAACATTAATGAAAGGACTGCTGTACACACATGCATATAGAATACGCTAAAAGGTTGTGACTTTTTATCATACAGGAAGCTCATTTAACGCAAGTGGTTTACATATCGTTGGACAACCATTTCGAATTAGCTAGAAGGTCAAAGAATTTTTTGTTTCTTTAAATGCCACTCTCAACCGTTAAGATGCGTTCGATAACGTGCAAATGAAACAAACTAATGACAACTTTCAATGGTATTGGAACTCACAGCCAGCAACATATAATTCAAATAACGTCTGTTAGCAGAACAATATCAAAAACAGGTGCGTTTACAGCAGACGGCTAGCATGATCATATCGCCTAGAAAACACTGCAAGGCTAGTTTCAATCAAATGATAGGGCTGTTTCATACTGCCGCACTGACTGCAGCAGTCTGCACTGACCGCAGCAGACTGCAGCAGACTGCAGCTGACTGCACTGACTGCAGCAGACTGCAGCTGACCGCACTGACCGCAACGACCGCAGCGGCTGAAGCCTGCAGGCGGAGAGGATAAATAGTTGTGCTTTAAACAAATAACAACAATACATACATAAAAGCAAAAGACAACAAGGTTTAGAATGTTACAAAACAGGTTTATGCAATGATAGGAAGAATTAGAACAAATACGAACATACCAAAGAAAACTATCCCCAAAATTTGATTGAGAAGAATTCTGATGGAACTTATGATCTTTTTATGAGCAAATCACGCTGTTTTGATAATCGCGGTTGTTTTTTCTTTCATGAAAAGAGGCTGCGACCGGTGCGGTCAGTGTGGTCAGTGCGGTCAGCTGCAGTCAGCTGCAGTCTGCTGCAGTCTGCTGCAGTCTGCTGCAGTCAGTGCGGCAGTCTGAAACAACCCATAGTCACGAAGAACTTACTTCTTTTGGAGTGCGACGGGCAACGTAAGCATCAAAACTAATTAACAAATACGTAACCATCAGAATCAGATTAGCAGAATTGCGGTAGAATATCAAATAACTTCCGACACAATATCGTGAGCATAGCAGGAAGATCAACGTTCCTATGTGGTGCTTATGTTACTTGTGAGTGTCAATATCGCAGGCGCCCTGCGTGGCAGATTGGTAGTAAGCGAAACTGGCGAGCATAAGTCGCAGTGCAAGATTTTCATCCTTAGTTGAGGTTAACAGGGTATCCTTGTATCAGTTTATACTATCATTTAAAGTTTGCACAAAACTTGCGCAAGAACGCGGCAGTTCCCCGGGATTATGCAATTTTCGGGAAAAGAAAAAGAAACCAAGTTTAACGATACAGGGAGCAAAACATAAGATAATGGAATCTAGGATGCATAAATATAGACTTTACTGTCCTATTGCTTCCCGGGCGAATTACTGTAACGCCGCATCGCGGCAATCCTTGGTTGTTCACCACCCCCTGATCCCATGAATTAGAATTCTCAGCAAAGCAGAAATAGTCCAGAAATTGGAGCACGGAGAATATATGAAGGGGCGTTCGTTAGAAGCCATATTCGTTTCCACGAATATAACAGTGTTACTGACAGCATTCAACCAGTCACTGCGGTTCCGTCAGAAAAGCAAGAATCCAAACACATTGCATATTGCAGCTGTCTCCTGAAAAGTGAACATTCAGCCTTTACTTCTTTAGTTTGAACCCAAAAGGTGATGGACACATAGAATACCTTACAGCAAGTAGCGTTTGAATTCGCTGACATTCTGCACTTTCGACATTCACGTCAAAAAAGCAGGAAAATAGGAAGAAGATGCACCATTTTGAAGCATTAGTTTTTGTACTGTCTCGCTATCAAAAAGTGCCACGCAAATACGTTGGCAAACATCGGCAAAGCTCCGCCAGCTATACTGTGGGGAATGGACGATATGCCTTGGAGTCGCCATGGAATTCGTTCAAATCTGAAAAAGAGTGGAATTATAATAAAGTGGGCTACATAAACTAGCAAACTCCGATCTCAAAGTTCGTTCCAGGTAACCCAAAGCATATCGTCCATTCTCCACAGTATAGCTGGCGGATCTTTGCCGACGTTTGCCAACGTATTTGCGTGGCAGTTTTTGATAGCGAGACAGTACAGAAACTAATGCTTCAAAATGGAGGTTCAACAAGTTCTCCAACGTGTTCAAATGTCTGCAGGGACACGCCCGCTATAAGCACGGAAATCGCCTGTACCATCATCCAGGAGCAGACATGCATAGAACGTGACGCAACCGAAGTGAACAACAATAACAAAAGAGGAAAAAGCCTTCTGCTTACCTGCTCAAAAGATATATGCACCCGATGGTTGAATTTATCTTATTACTGTACGCGCAATCTTGTGCACTTCCCGAGTTTTCGCACAGAGGAACGGCCGCCGGCCGGCATTTGGCTCCGCCCAAAATGGGAACGGCCGCCGGCAGGTGCGAGTGTCTGAGAATGTGGTCGTAGTGCGTTAGCTCCGTAACTGTTTAACCCTTCTAGAGGCACTCTTTGCTATCGGAATTTTTTTTCGCAATCTGGGCTTATCCTTGCGCTAAAATCTATTTTAGGGGTGCCTTCATACCGAGCTAGCAGCCGCCGTTAGCTGCTCATCCGCCTTCACATGCACTAAATTCCCACGCCAATTCTGGAGCTGACTTCAACACTTTAAATCAGTTTTTAGAATTCTGCAACAGGAATAAGTTAGGCTGCTTGTTGAACAACCTGGGGCGGTATGTATCAATCGTCCGTCCTGGTAAGTTATCAAACTGATAGATACTCAAAAGCTGACAGAGTTCCCAAGTTTTTGGCTTTTGTGTTTCAAATTTCCCTTACCGTAAGGAGACCGAACCGAAGCATCGCCTCTCCTATCATTTGAATAAAAATTTCGGTGAAAACCTGCGCTGCGACAAATCATGAACCCAATTTCTTAGTTTTCTTAGTATTTACTCCCGGCACTTTCCCATTCTCCGAACCCATTTTTCAAAGGAGGATGATGCTTCTTTCCTCGTATCATATTTCGTCTTAACTTCACAGGAAGGAGAGTCTACCTTCCGCCATGTGTCAAAAAAAATTTAACATGCCATCTACATGTTTAACAAGTTTTACCAAGAGCTTGTTTTGCCCTAACTAGCAACGTAAGGACAGCCTGTTTTTAGTCAATAATGACCCCATTTTCGATTTTGCGCGTGTTTATGTGTATGTGTATGTGTATGTGTATGTGTATGTGTAACAGTGGCGTACCGAGGGGGGGGGGGCGGGGGGGGGCGCGCGCCCCCCCCCGAGAATGGGTCGCGAAATTTTTGAAAGTTACCTATATGGGTTATAAAAATGTGCAAGTGACTTGTTTATTTTTGTAAATAGTTAAAATAATTTTTAAAAATTTTCAAAAATTCAAATTAGCCTTGTAAAAAAATTTTTTTCGGGGGCGTGGCTGACGCCACGCCCCCTTTTTCTAGATTTTAGGGGTCGGGGACCCGCAAAAATTTTGAGAAGCACCCCCAAAATTTTTTCGGAGTGCGTGGCTAACGCCACGCACCTTCTTTAGAAAAAATTTTTTGTCGCGCCCCCCCCGAGCCGAAATCCTGGGTACGCCACTGATGTGTAAGTGTATGTGTATGTATATGTGTATGTGTATGCGTATGTGTATGTGTATGTGTTTGTTGTATGATCGTCTCTACGATTCGTGTGTAGGTGTATTGCAGACTTTGCCTGATAACACAGGTAAACTTGTTAAACCTCCACGTCATAGCATTGTATTTCGTGCTCTCTCGCTATCAAAAACCGCCACGCTTTGAGTTGGCAAAACTCCGCCTCTACACGAATCGTGGAGCCGATGATATGCGCATGTGTGTATGTGTATGCGTATGTGTGTGTGAGAGAGAGAGTTATCGCCATACAGGATCAGATTCTTACTATTTGTGAAATCCCCTGGGGATTCCCAGGGGATCACCTCCTATTTTCAAAGTCATTTAACTTCCTGAAATCTCGGAACGCTATAAAATCGTGCTGAGGATATGCCTGCACTGCTAAGCATGTTTTCGACAGGAGAGATGTAATGTGAAAATTGTGTATTTTTCGATGATCGCTAGTTCGCAGCAGTGTTTCATCGAAGATTTCAACATCTTGAGATCACACTTATTTCTAATATAAACTTGCTTAGCAGTGCCGTAGTACATCCCCAGCACAATCTGGAAACATTTTCATTGAGTTTAAGGAGGATAAATGATTCTGAAAAGGAGAAGTGATACTGTGGGGATCCCCAGGGACTCACATAAAATAGTGAAAATATGTCCTTCTATGACAGAGCCACCATTATGCGCAGGTATCAGGGTATGAGAACCTCTACTGCCCAGGTTGAGAGAAAAAAAGAAAGATATCTAATAGCGGAGTAGGAGAGTAGCGGAATATGTCGCATCCCTTCTCAAATCCCCTCCCCTTCCCGCGGGGATGTACGCGCATACGGCCTTAGCTAGAAAGGTAGATCATTGAACCTAGCCCAAAAGTTAGCTCGTGCTGGCAGTAT